TCTAATATATTGGATAAACGTGCATGAAATATAACAAAATATTTAATGACAATTAATTAAGGTTTTTAGTTGAGATTAAAAAAAAGTTAATGGCACGAGAGGGATTCGAACCCACGACCTTCGGCTAGATACGCCGCTGCTCTACCGTTGAAAAATGGCAAAAGGAGGGAAAACTCATAAGGTGGGGTTGAGATGGGGAGTTGATGCCCGAGTGGATCTAGGTCACGATAGCTCAGGTGGTAGAGCAGCAGCGTATCTAGCCGAAGGTCGTGGGTTCGAATACCTCTCGTGCCATTAAATTTTTTTCATCTCAACTAAAAACCTTAATTAATTGTCATATATTAATTGGTCAAGGGGACCACGAATATAGTGAATTAATAAAATATTTAATATATATTAACAATCATATATTCCTAGTATTCCTTTAAGGTTAAAGCTATTTTAACTACATGCATAAAAAAATACAGATTCTAAAAAGTGTTTTTGTATAAATATCAAATATGTTTTCACAGTTATATATATGATAAAACAGTTTATATTTATAAAGATGAATTTTCTGTTCAATTAGGTTAAAATTAGAAACAAGACGGATTTAGTTGTTTGCCATTTTATATTTACCAGAAATATATTCTGCATCAACAGAAATTTCAACCAAGCCCAAGTTTTTTAACCAAATAATTAACACTGCCAAAAACAATAGTATTAATACAATTTTTGTCGTTTGGAATTATAGTTAATAATAATTTTTAACCACAAGAATGTGCTTTATATTTTTTTATTATTGGACCTGGCATTATCCTTAAAGTATTACTGCCAATTTATAAATTATTTTGTTAATTCAAGCCACAGAAACAATTTAAAATACAACCTTAAAACCTAGTTAACTCGGCGAACTAGATATTGTTTATTGTAACAAAAATAAACAGGATAATATATTCCTAGAAAAACTTCTAGAAAACTCTACTTTTACTAAAGACGTTCAAAATGACAAACAGTTTAACAATCGATTACTATCAAAAGCAAATGATCTTGAGTATCCAAACTCTATTAGAGTAAGAGTCATCAGCTCATTTTTCCATTTTATGTCCTCTATCGTCAAATCAACAGTAATTTTCAAAAACTAGTTTCTTTATTGAATTTTTGAATATTTACATTAAAAAATAGGTCGATGAATAAATTTGTGTGTGCAAGATATGATAAACCAAACTGCGATGATAACTGCCGGTATTGATCATTCTCATATCTACATTAAGACTATGATTCATTCATTTATAATTTAAGCCTGTTTAAACACCTAAATAAGAAGGAAATATGAGTCAAGCCTGATATTGAACTAGAAACATAAATTTCCGGTGTCAAATTTCAAGTTGCATCATAATCCTGTTGTGTGTCTGACTCAAATTAATCATAATTTTTCAAATCTCGCACAAAAATTATGTTACGAATAGTTTCATCAATATTTAATATGTGAAATTCATTATGGTGATTTAATTTCATAATGGTAATGTAAATAAATATAGAAAAAAGAAATAGGTGTAGCAACTGAAAAATTGCTGCACTTTCCAAATATGTACCATTCAATTATCCGAATTTGTAAAACAAAAAAATGGTATGAAAACTAGTAAAAGTATTTAAATGTGAAAAATCTCAGGGGTCTGCGGTAGCTTAGTGCTTGACTCACAGTTGAGCGTGATAGACTCTCGGCTCGTTGACCCGCGGTCGTGGGTCCTATTCCCACCGACGCCCATGGCCCTTTTTTCCACCTTTCCCCCGTTAATAAAATGCATCGTCAAATACACACACGTCTTCCTTGCCTATCACAGGCACTTAATTGCATATATAATTACCAAAAACTACATTACAAGCACAGTAGGGCTTGGAAACTTTCGCCTGTAAGATGGCAATGAGGAGATCATCAAAGCAATTGTACTTGTATTGTAGCAAATAAAATTGTACAGACTGTTAAAGATTTATGTTCATTAACAAACCTTTATGTGCTTGTATTGTCTGCAATATAGGATCGGTTCGGAGTTAGCTTGATGATTCACTATTTACTCATTCATTCATTTACTTCTACACAAGAATCTGAGAGTTGGGGGATCAGATGAATTTATTTTAATATAGAGCATTCTGCAAAAAACGAATGTACATCTTTTCTGACCCAAGAGTTACATAGGAGGTGCTTCACAACCAGGGAATTTAACCCTAATAGATCGCACCTCGTTTTTAAGCAAATACAGCTAACCCCCTAAATTCCGCTCCCGAATCAGAAACGAAGTAGCAATATAGAACATGATACAATTTTTTATACATCTGTAAGCGAGTTGATGCCAGAGAAAGCTCCACAGACTCATTTTGATGTCGAGCAATGCTTTTTACAAAAAGTTAACCAAGATTTGTATTTCACGAGAAGATAATCAAGATTTATCTTCTGTTCAGATATATTATCAATACTAAAATTGTTTAGGGTGAAATATTTACGAGAGGCGATGAGAGCATTTGCATTACTTTCCTTTTCCTTTTTTTATTTATTTAGTGAAGTTGTGATGTGTCAAATTGATGGGGCAGGAGGTAATCAGAAAGACATGATTTACAGGTAGAAAGGGTTGGGGCACGGCGAATCGAGTGACGGAGGGAATTCCAGAGATTGTCGGAACGTGCAAGAAAAGGATCGACTAAAAGGGGTGGATTTTTATGAAAAAGGGCAAAGATCGGAAGGGCAGGAACGAGTGCTGTGAGTGTGTATAGAAGACTTAAATGTTAACACATTATAAATGTAGGAAGGGGAATGGGAAGAAATTGTCTGATGGAGCCAAGGAATTGTAGCCTGCAATAGCAAGTTTATAGCCATTTTAATCCACGATACATAATGGACACATGCGATCCCTTTGGAGAGATAAATATGAACCGAACAAAGCAGTTCATTCTCGTGAGTGTGTTTTTAGGCTTGCAGGTCGTTCCACGAAGATCAAACAATAATCGAAATAAAGGTGCTGATTGGGAAAGGTTGGTTTGCGTGACGGAATTGGAGGAGGGTGGAGAAGCACAGGCGGAAGATTTGGAAAATATGGGGTGTTCATGATAGGCTTTGATCAAGGACTATCCCTAGGTTTTTAGCAGATGGATAAAAGGAATAGGTTCGTTGTTGATGCAGAGCGGAAGAAACTGACATAAGGATTGGAGAAAAACATGGGAATCCTAACACTATAATATAGGACTGATAGATATTAAAAGGGAGTCTATTTTCAACGGACCGGGAATTGATGGCATTTGAGTCCTCGTTGATTCGTGTGATAAGAGATTTGAAGGTCATGAGATAAAGACAGATAAAAACCGAGTCATCTTCGTAGAGTTGATAAGTGCAATATTTAAAATATTAGGAAAATCATTAATATATAAACAAAAGAGGGAGGCAGAACAAGAGGACTTGAGACCTTGAGGACCTTGAGAAACACCAGTAATGATGGGAAAAGGTGAGGACGGAGGCTTGCCTGGGATGAGTACTATTTGGGAACGGACTTAGAGTAAGGAATGAAACCATCGAAGAACACTGTAGGGGAAGGAAAGGGAATTGAGTTTAGAAATAAGAAGAGTATGGTTTATGGTGTCAAAGGGTTTGGAAAAATCATGGAGATCGTAGGCGTATTCTGTTATTAGATTTTTAAATTATTGTAGAGCGTTTTTGAAAGCATGATTTAATAGATTTTTTGACCAGTAAATGTTGTCATAAAAATTGCAAATCTTTGCCATATTGAACAAAATGTAAAACATCTTAAGTCACAAAAAGCTGACTTTTATTATAATGGAATATATTGAATTGTAATATCGACGATTAATGCACTTTATTTGTATTACAATGGAATGTAATGAGTTCTAATATCGACGATTTTATTTGTATTACAATGGAATATGTTGAGTTGTACTATCGACGATTAATGAATTTTATTGGTATTACAATGGAATATATTGAGTTGAAATTTCGACGATTAGTGCATTTTATTTGATTACAATAGAATATATTGAATTGTAATATCGACGATCAGTGATTTTTTTTTGTATTGCAATGGAAATTGAGTTGTAAATATAAGTGAGAAGTTTATGGGCCGACAAACAGCTGAGGGCTGAGGTCATCGCCGGCCCTCTGCGTGTTTTCCTTCTTTTTATTTTCTTTGCGCACATTTTGTTTTAAACTGCAGCCATTTGAGCGTCTCGATATTGAGTTGTAATATCGACAATTATTGAATTTTATTTGTGTTACAAGGAATATATTGAGTTGTAATATCGACGATTTATGGGCCGACAAACAGCTGAGGGCTGAGGTCATCGCCGGCCCTCTGCGTGTTTTCCTTCTTTTTATTTTCTTTGCGCACATTTTGTTTTAAACTGCAGCCATTTGAGCGGGAATATATTGAGTTGTAATATCGACGATTAGTGAATTCTATTTGTATTACAATGGAATGTGTTGAGTTGTAATATCGACGATTGGTGCAATTTATTTGTATTACAATAGAATATATTGAGTTTTATTATCGACGATTATTGAATTTTATTTGTACTACCGTGGAATATATTGAGTTGTAATATCGACGATTAGTGCATTCTATTTTACAAGTATTGATCGACGCGTGTTGTAGTTTTCTAAATTATAAAGTTGCAGCAACAACACGCTTTATGGCAGCGTTTGAGGTCATACAAAGGACAAAAAGTATGACGACTTGTTCCGTTTATTGTTATTACAATGGAATATTTTGAAAGTTGTTATCTACGATTAGCCTGTTCTATTATTAGACATCAAAAATAACTGGCGTTGAACGAGTAGGTCGTGGTGAATGAGCGGAAAATACCGTAATGGGTATATTTATATAACATGGGAGAGAGGCCGAGAGTGGTCGGGAAGTGCGTAGTGGGGCGATTGTTGTTGTTTTGGTCGGGCCAGTGTTCTGGCCTAATCCGCGACACACTCGTGCCTTAAAACCGGCTAAATATTAAACTATCTTTACCTTTACTTCTGTCGAAAAATCTACGCTTTCTTGTATGGCCTCTGTAACCATGCGGTCAAGAGTTGACTCTTTGACTATAATCGACAGGGTCTTCTTCATGTGAGGCGTGGTCACCTTGATGATGACCCTGGCCATATCGCTCGCATAGTTGTTCTCCTCCGTCACGACTGATACTGACTCGCATATCGTCACTTTGCAGGAGGTGTCGGTCACTGAGAAATACCTCTCGACCGCCGACCTGAGCGGTTCCGGGCACATGTACATCCTTCTTCTACTCTGGCTGGGCAGGGACTGTCGGTTGTAGAACGTCCAATTTACATTTCCCACTCTAGCTCCCAAGGCTTCTCCCCACATCGGTCTTTACCGTCGTTACTCAAGCCGACCGATAACGGGCCGGGTTACTTTCGTATATACATGATATACACGCATGATGTGACAACTCAACATTATTCTGATCTCTCCTTCATCTGTCAAAGATTTGCAGGTTTGAATTGTAACGGACGACCAACGTCCATCTCCATTCTGGAAACTTTCTTTTCTTACAGAATTCACAGTTCTCGTCCTAAATCATTTTTAAAAGCAAAAATCCTCTAGTTATGTTACGTATTGTAAATAAATTGGTTCCTTGCTTCTTTGAAATATACCTTGTTAGAATAGAATAGAATAAATTTTTATTTGTACATGTGCACAATAATATATACATTAATTTTAGAATGTAGGGAAAGTGACATTTCACCATGACTTCCTACTATTTACATTGGTCTTTTAAAAAATTTGTTAACAAAAAACCACAAGCAAAGGGATGAAATCTACATATAAATTAAATAAATGCATATACAAAGTGTAGATGAGAAGTGAATAAATAAAATAAATTATTAAATACATAAATAGGTTTATAAATATTCTTATTACTATAAATTTGATAACTATGTAAAGTTTATAAGACAGGTACATTGTGTTTGATCCTCTTATGTTTCCAGTTTGCATTTGTTGGATATGCACCTATGGATCTGCAAATAGGATTTGAGGAGACACTCATACGCTTAAAGAATTTGCAGACCTCATCGTAAATTTCCTCCTCTACCCATTTCATGTTAGTTCGCTCATGTAGGTCTGTCAATCTATAATATCTAGGAGAGGCAGTGGCTAGCCGCAGAAATTTATTTTGAATTACCTGTAATTTATTAAGGTTTGTTTTACAGGTAAAATTCCATGCTGGGCAGGCATATAGCAACATTGGTTTAATAAATACTTTATAAATTAGTAGTTTATTGAGTTGGCTCATGCCAGACTCCTTGCTGAGCAATGGGAAAAGTGATCGTATAGCCGCCTTCCCGTTGCCTACAAGATTTGTTGTGTGTGCACCAAAATTCAATTTGGTATCAAGAGTGATTCCTAGATATCTCATTTTTCTTAACCACTCAAACGACTTCCCCTCGAGTAATATGTTGTGGGAGAGCAGGGGCCTACGCTTAGTGAATAGCATACAACTGGTTTTGGAAGAGTTAATTTTCAGCTTCCATCTAGTGCAGAACCGTCTTACTCTTTCCAGCTCCTTATTAATGTTTTTTACGATCGCACTAATCCTCCAGGATGAACTGTAAAGCGCGATGTCGTCGGCGTACAAAGCGAGTTGGCATGATTTGGGCGTAGGCAAGGCATTTAAAAAGATGCAAAAAAGTGTAGGTCCCAGAATTGAACCCTGAGGCACGCCTGCTTTGGTGGCAAAACGGAGGAGAGAGTATTATGAAAGGATACGCGAAAAGACCTCAAGTGAAAGTAACTGTGTACGACCTTGATAATGTATTTTGGGAAGTTGTATTTAATCATTCTGTAAATTATACCATCACGCCATACAGTATCAAAGGCTTTCTCCAAATCAAGAAGGACCAGTCCCGTGTGTTTTTTAATGTTGAAACCTTCAGTTACGTGATCAACTATTCTAGCAAGTTGACCTACGGTGCTAAGGCCTGGGCGGAAGCCAAATTGTTCATTCTTAATTATATTATGGGTGACTAGATGAATTTCGATCCTTTTTGCTAACACCTTTTCAAAGATCTTGTTCAAAGAGCTGTGTAGGCTGATAGGTCTGTAACTCGGCGGAAGTTCTTGCGGCTTGCCGGGTTTTTTAAAATATATCACTTTGGAAACTTTCCAGCACTTCGGGAAATACCCCAAGAAAAGGATGGCGTTGAAGAGGTGAGTCAGTAGAACCAGAGCTCTTTTCGGAAGGTTTTTTAGCGTTGTATTTGTGATTCGGTCCAGACCTGGTGCTTTTTTATTTCTTCGTGTATGTATTATACCCCGAATCTCCTGGGGAGTGACAATCTTGCACTGCTGGGGAGAAAAAGGGTTAGTCCACCTTCTCACCACCAATCAAGGCCCACGCTATCTTCAAAACGCTGTTACTAATCAAGTTAAGAGATTCATGGCAAATATACCTTGTATAATTTCAGCCGTACAGCTGTAAGATAGAATTCTTTATATTCTCATACAGAAGTATTTGTAAGTGCATCTGATCATGCCTCTAAATAAATTAAACTAAATTAAACACCTTACTTTAACACTTTAATAATTTTTTTAGTTTTATTTATAACTTCCACATGAATTGTATATCTCGAAATGATTGGGGAAATTTATTAATAAATGTGATTATAATTATTTATCTATTACTTGGTAATGTTAGCTTAATATGATTGTCTTTTGTTATGCTGAAGATGGGCTTCACAGCCTGAAACGTCATCTCTAAATAAATTCAACTACCATGGAATACCTGATTTATTTGTTCTTAAATATTTATCGTTAGAAAAGCGTCTTTTATCTAGCCATGCACTTAACAATATGAATAAATTAAACAAAAACTGTTCAAAACTATTGGAATATATATTTTTATTGAATCTATACTATAAAAATTCTGCTTGAAAGCGTTTTTCAATTTACATAAAATGGCTAATGTACACTACAATTGGACGGAAATAACCCATAAAGTTAAATAAAACAACCAAAATAATTAGGAATATCTTATCTAACTTATGAAATTTAATACTAGTATGTGCCACCGATTTAGGTTAGTATTAGGCTGTAATATCTTTTAGAGTGAATGGGCGGAGGCACTGTTGTAATATTAAATGCACTAGTGGCTCCGCATTTTTTAATTTGTAAATACAGAATGATTGGTTACTGTTTGAGTGAATGTATTTATTAGTGCGATAGTAGTGTATGCATGGGTGGGTCTATGGTGGAATATCAAGTACCCCATAAACCCACCACCTAGGTTAATGTTTTAGATTAATTATAATTTTAATTGTACATAATGTATGGATGTATTTATTAGCGTGAACGAGGGCGGGTCTTCAGAGGAATATCGAGTATTCTGAAACCCGCCTATAGGCTAGGCTAGAATTGAATGTTAGCTAGTTTCAGAGCCTTTTCACCACGTGTGGGAGGGCTAAAAATGTAGCAATAACGTCCCAGAACACAACCAGAAAGATCGCCAGACTTCCTACAGAAAAGCTAATTTACAAAAAAAAAAAAATTAAATAAATAAAAATAAATAAATTTATAAAACGTGAGGTGGAAGAAATGTGAGGTGCCGGCAATAGCCCAGGCAGCTAGCCGGCCGGGGGTGGGGGAAACGTTGCTGGAGTATTTTGGAAAGGGGTGAAGATATCAGACAGAGAAATGAAAACAAAATAAAAAATAGATTTATTTCTTCTTCATGTACCAATTACTCAGATTGATTGACCCCTGATTCTTAAAACCCCAATAAATGGCTACCGAGGACAAGGGGTTTTCCTGTCAAGGTAAGGATTTCCTAGATTATGTTTGTATAACTGAAGTAATTTTCAGTTTCCTTCTTCATTGATACTACGGAGCATTATAGATCCATGCTGTTTAAAGCAGCCCACCCTTGTCTATGTACTAAGGTATCTCTTGCCATTCATTGTAAGGGTCGCGGTTTTTAAACGTAACTAAATGGGTTTCGAAATCTGGGCTCGAGAAATCAAGAGTTATTGCCCAAAGCTTATTTAGATACTAACGTCACCTTCCATAAGTTAATAAGGAAAAAAGAGAGTGCTGAAAGAAGTTTGTGGAAGAACAAGTTGGAAGGTTGCTGTTGACGCCACCAGGACATTTATTTTAATTTATTTGAATGAGCCCGAACAAGGAGACGTTAATTTTATTTGAGCCGAAGGAAAGGTTCGTTTAGTTTATTTGTTGATGATGGAGGATTAGTCGGGCGATAGTGCGGCGGGTAATCCAGTGGTGATAAATCCACGGAAAGCAGTGTCCGTTCAGCCGTGACGAGAGAAGTGGCCTTTTCTACGTTCTGCGCCTGCGCGACGCCGCTCGTGATTCTCTGGAGATCTGCTCCGCCTACCTTACCGCAGCACTACCAAAAGGAAAGTGACTGTTTCCGACCCACGCCGCTGGAAGCGCCGCGGGACTCACCAATACCACTCTGCAGACCTGTTGCCAGGACAACCTACCGACGCCAAGACTGGTATCGTTACTATTGCCTGACAACCTCCGTCCGTCAACAAACCCGAATTTGTTATTTTGACGCCAGAAATTGATTTGAGTTATATTTTTAAAAGAAGTAAAAATTTTTTGTTGTATTTTGTTGATACGGAGCTCCGTCAGTTTTTTTTGTTTTTTTTTTTAGTTGTGAGAACATTTTAATTTGTAACTTTTCCTTTATTTTGAACTTATGTTCCTTTTCTCATTTTAATTTATTACACAACTCGAAAATGATTTTGTTGTCGCAATAAAAGGCGTATTTCCGTTTATTTTTTGTGTTTTTGTTTATTTCCCCCTACAGTTAATATCATAGTTCTAGGCGAACCAGCCCCCCATAAAGCAGTGAGGACTACCCTTTAAACAAGAAGGGTCACTCTACTTTACAGTTGCCTTGGGAAACCCATATTAAAATCATATACGACAAGATATGTAACAGACCAGCAGCTGTAAGCTTTAACTAAGACCAAACAAGTCAAATATTTGTTTTCTGCGTAAATGTGCCATTCTTGCGTGTCTTGTTGAGAGTATCATGGGCAATTACGCAGAAAACAAACACTTTGAGCCATGAAGATGATCTCAATAAAGATAGAAACGTTGGCACGATAAGAAAATGTTTTTCTAAAACCTACACCACACCAGACTGCATCTTACGATTTCTGAATAATCATCGACTAACGTTCACAAATCACCACACATGAAGCATTAATTAATTAATTATTAAGGGGCGTCGGTGGCCGCCACGATTTAGGCGCTGACACGGCGCTCATCACCGTGAGGTAAAGGTCCCGAGTCCGTATTCTGCGTCCTCTGCTGTTCCTCCGATCCCTCGTTAAAAAGAGAAAAGAAAA